CTCGTCTACCCATGTACTATCTGAAACCAAAGGGTAAGGTAAAGGTAAAAGGTAAAGGACTCCTGGACGGTTAAGTCCAGTCAAAGGTGACTATGGGGTTGCGGTGTTCATCTCACTTTCAGGCCGAGGGAGTCGGTGTTTGTCCACAGACAGCTTTCCGGGTCATGTGGCCAGCATGACTAAATCGCTTCTGGCGCAACGGAACACCGTGATGGAAGCCAGAGCGCACAGAGTTTACCTTCCCGCCACAGCAGTACCTATTTATCTACTTGTGCTGGCGTGCTTTCAAACTGCTAGGTTGGCACGAGCTGGGACAGAGCAACTGAGGCTCACTCCATTGCGGGGATTTGAACCGCCGACCTTCTGATCGGCATGCCCAAGAGGTGCAGTGGTTTAGACCACAGCACCACCCGCGTTCCTTGAAACCAAAGAAGCTCATGGGTTGCCAGATGCGATTCCCTGCCCCCAGCCGCTCTCCTACTGCACTGTTAGATTGTAAGCTTGGAGGCAAGGATCGTCTTACCACTGATCTTTGTAAGCCACTCAGGGTGCTCCCCCCCCCACCGCCAAAAGAGCAGGATAAAAAATAAAAAAACTGCAACAAACAAATAACAATTGTGTCAATATTTTATTGCTGTTAGGTACCTGAACAGTGGGGTACAAAAAATTAATAATAGATAAAAACAGCAGCAGCTATCTTTAGCAGTAAACAGTAAAAAACCTGTCCAAGTCAGGGTGGTTGATGGCCCAGGACCTGTTGGTGGGTTAGCATCCTTTAATGTTTGATAAAAAGGTAAAGGTACCCCTGCCCGTACTGGCCAGTCGTGTCCGACTCTAGGGTTGTGCGCCCATCTCACTTAAGAGGCCGGGGGCCAGCACTGTCCGGAGACACTTCCAGGTCACGTGGCCAGCGTGACGAAGCTGCTCTGGCAAGCAAGCACCAGCGCAGCACACGGAAACGCCGTTTACCTTCCCGCTATAAAGCGGTACCTATTTATCTACTTGCACTTAGGGTGCTTTCAAACTGCTAGGTGGGCAGGAGCTGGGACCGAAAGATGGGAGCTCACCCCGCCGCGGGGATTCGAACCGCCGACCATGCAATCGGCAAGTCCTAGGCACTGAGGTTTTACCCACAGCGCCACCTGCGTCCCTTAATGTTTGATAGGCAGGTCATATAGCTCACCTGTGTTAGTTTTAGGAGCAGTGGCCCAACAGCCTGAGCAATATCAACACAGCTGATTCATGCGGACCCAAGTATGTTAAGATCAGGGACCTGAAACATAAGATCCCTATGCATTCTTGGATCATAACATGTGGGGTTCTTAATTTGCTGGAACCATGCATGAAGACAGCATCTCTGGAGCAAGAATTTGTGCTCAAAATTATTATTCATGAACAATCTGCATCACCGTGAACGCTCCACACAGATAGCTACAGTTACCTTTTCTTGTTCTACAGAAATGCAGTGTTACACTAAATGTCAAAAGAATTGGTTGGAAATACTCATGAACCAGAATTCATAGGCATCGCACAACAGTCTTTTTTTTCTTTCTTTCCTAGTAATGAGGTCTCTTGCTTTAGAGTCAGTTTCAGATAATGGAATCTGATCCGTTCTAGGAATTTTGCCTGAAACCAGAGACTTAAAAATATCCCAGTGCCCGGCTGCCAGATTTCATGACAGTTATTATGCTTTTAGAAATCTACAAAAGAAAAATGAAATCCACAGGGAACACAACTTTACTTTGACATTTGTCAACATTTGGTGGACCAGGAAAATTAACACAAGACCTAGCAATGTGATATGCCAAGTCATTATGGTACATCAGATGTAATAGTTACCAATTATCATAGCATCCCAGGTTCACCGTGATACTGCAAGGAGCTGCCACAGGCTGCAGTGTAAATCCTGCATTATAAGGAAATTAAAAGCTAAATTAAAAGATGTCACCCCAAACCCTCGTTATCTGACTACATTGTTCCGCTCCCGCACCTCGTAGGCTCATTTCCAGATAAGCATAGTAATGAAATCCTATTATTAGGGCTTGTCTTTGTCATGCTCTAGTTCAGGGATCTCCCACGATGTTGTTGGGACTCCAGTTAATATCAATCCCAGGCAGCATGGCCAATGGTGAGGAATGAAGGGAAGGATATCTGCAGCATGGGATCACACCAAAAACCTGATAGCAATAGTTTTTCTAAGATTCCTTCTTTCCACTCTCGCCATGTTACTCATAATGTGATAAAACTATATTGTGTCTCATATACATGTTGTTGTTGTTTAGTCGTGTCCGACTCTTCGTGACCCCATGGACCAGAGCACGCCAGGCACTCCTGTCTTCCACTGCCTCCCGCAGTTTGGTCAAACTCATGCTGGTAGCTTTGAGAACACTGTCCAACCATCTCGTCCTCTGTTGTCCCCTTCTTGTGCCCTCCATCTTTCCCAATATCAGGGTCTTTTCCAGGGAGTCTTCTCTTCTCATGAGGTGGCCAAAGTATTGGAGCCTCAGCTTCAGGATCTGTCCTTCCAGTGAGCACTCAGGGCTGATTTCCTTAAGAATGGAGAGGTTTGATCTTCTTGCAGTCCATGGGACTCTCAAGAGTCTCCTCCAGCACCATAATTCAAAAGCCTCAATTCTTCGGCGATCAGCCTTCTTTACGGTCCAGCTTTCACTTCCATACATCACTACTGGGAAAACCATCGCTTTTACTATACGGACCTTTATTGGCAAGGTGATGTCTCTACTTTTTAAGATGCTGTCTAGGATTGTCATTGCTTTTCTCCCAAGAAGCAGGCGTCTTTTAATTTCTCATACACACACACACACACACACACACACACACACACACACACTCAAAACTGAAGATCCACAATCTCTTTAGCTTTTCTTTATAAGGAAAGTACAGTCGTATCTTGGAAGTCAAACAGAATCCGTTCAACTTCCAAAATGTTCGGAAACCAAAGTGTGGCTTCTGATTGGCTGCAGGAAGCTCCTGCAGCCAATCAGAAGCCGTGGAAACACCATTGGATGTTCGTGTTCCAAAGAACACGCAAACACTCACTTCTGAGTTTGTGGCGTTCTGAGTACCAAGGCGTTCGGGGTCTAAAATACGCCTGTATCCTAAAACCTTCAGCTTCTTCTCTTTGTCCTCTTCTGCATCTCCTTCTGCTCTGGGGAATGTGTCTTGAAATGTGGCAACTAAATCTGGACACTTCACACAACGGAAGTATGGAACTGAGACAATAGGAAGGTACCATCATTCAATATACCCTAAGCCTGAAAGGATTTCTACAATACACTGAACATGGTTCTTATTTGAATTGCCTGAGGTCAGTTCAAAATCCATGTGGTTCTGTGAATAAATGCCCTGGAATATCTGGTTCAAAAAGTTAACCCACTGCCTTAATTGCGTAGCCCAGATCAACCGAAACCAGGGCTTTTTTTCCCAGCCGGAACTTGTGGAAACTCAGTACTAGCACCTCTCATTTGGGCACCAATGCCATTGTAACAGATTAAGGGACGTTTTCATGGTGAGTTCCAGCACCTCTTTTTCTAGAAAAATAGCAACAACCGAAACAACATCTGTCTCCAAGTTAGACTATACTGTACTCCCCCACCCCAGAAAATCAGAATTTACAGTTCTAGCTAGAAAATCCATATAAACTTTGGTGTCCCTGCCCCCCGTACGGTGGAACAATTAAGAAACATTGCACATAGTAAAATATGTATACAGTAAACACGTGGACCTGATCCACAGATGCTTGGAGAATGCAGCCCACTGGTGCTGTACCTGAAGTACAAGTGGAGAGGGATATATACAATAAATACTCTCTTTTGACTTAAAAACTGGACAGGGAAAGGAATATTCCAAGTTTTAAAATCCCAGAGAGATGAAACGATGTGCTCTGATGTCTTAGACTCACTTGGTTGCTACATGGGAATCATGGGATTCACAGGCAATAACTTTCTTGGTTGGTTGCAGGAAGAGTTGTTTTCTCTTTTGGCCTGTTTTTTGGGGGGGTCGGGCTGTAGTTATTTTGCATATATGGAGAGGGGGATCTGAACATCACAATTTTTTAATTTTATGAACTTTTGTTTGTCTGTTTCTTCATGTTCATATTTTTAATCAGAGCTAGGCATCAGATTGTGCCTGTTCTACTGTACTGTGTCCTTTAAGGTGGCCCATCTCACAGTTTGAGAACCTTAGCATCCCAAATGGTAATGCTGGTGCACAACAAAAGAGGTTTAAATATGCTCTTAAGGCAAATCTTTAAAAATGCAGTATAAACACCGACAACTGGAAATCACTGGCCTGAGAGTGCTCCAACTGAAGAACAGCCTTAACCAAAGACATTGTGGACTTTGAAGAAGCACGAACTCAGGACGAAAGGGAGAAGCAAGCAAAGAAGGCATGTTTGACAAATCCTCACTGTGATCAACTCCCACCTGGAAACCTACGTTCCCACTGTGGAAGGATGTGCAGATCCAGAATTGGCCTCCACAGTCACTTACAGACACACTGTTAAGAACACATTCATGGAAGACAATCTTACTCAGTTATGAGTGATTGCCGAAGAAGAAGGAGGAGGAGGAGAAGAAGTAGTAGTAGTACAGTGGTACCTCGGGTTACATATGCTTCAGGTTACATACACTTCAGGTTACAGACTCCGCTAACCCAGAAATAGTACCTTGGGTTAAGAACTTTGCTTCAGGATGAGAACAGAAATCATGCTCCAGCAGCGCGGCAGCAGCAGGAGGCCCCATTAGCTAAAGTGGTGCTTCAGGTTAAGAACAGTTTCAGGTTAAGAACGGACCTCCGGAACGAATTAAGTACGTAACCAGAGGTACCACTGTAATATGTTTTAGACTGAGAATGACTAAAGCCAGGATATCACTAGAATATCACTAGAATCACACTGTCACATAGAAAAGAAATGCAGATCTAGATTGCAGGAATGAACCAAGTAGTTAAAAAGTAAATAAAATATTTGCAACTATGGATTTAATATTGGGGGGAAATAACTTTATTTTGGGGATGGACAATCCCCTTAAGAGTTAGCTCTTCTTGAAGTCCAGTAACCGAAGCTCAAACAATACCCTGGAACTTTAGCTTTGGCTTTCCCCCTCCTTTGTGATATCGTATCTGTCCAAGCGTAAGCACCTGATGGTACGTTGAGTCTTTAATGAGCATCACCCCTTGCTTAAGAAAAGCCTTCCAGACTTCAGAATGAAACGCTGCAAAAATATGGAGGTTAGGAATCTTCATTTATGAGCAGAGGTTCAACTTCCAAGGCCACCAAGCTGGGTCTTCTCTCCTTCCGCTTGCGATACAAAATAAACTGTGCAGTTATCTGGGTGCTGAAGTCAGGGAAATTATTAGTCACTTGAGACAGAAAGACAATTTATACAGTGATCGCTTTCGAGTTACGAGCAACAAAAGTGAATGTTTAAATTAAGCAGCCAGAAGGACATTAGAAGCGTCCTGAAAGGCCCATCAAGTCTAACATTCTGTTCCCACAGTAGTCAACCTGATGCAGAGTGGAAACCCACAAGCAAGACATGAGCACAGAAGAACTCTCCTGCTTATAAACCCCAGCAATCAACTGGTATTCGGAGGCAAACTGCCTCTTACTGGACAAAATATGGCCATGAGAATTGTAGCCACCAATATCCTTAATTTCCATGAATTTGACTAACCTCCCTTTAAAGTCATCCTACTAACAGATGACCACAATTGGATAACATCCATCGTTAAGATTCAATTCAGACTTCACACAGGACACACAACAGAATAATCTGCACAGATATTTGTGGCCAGGGAATTGTGTGCCATTTTGCTCATGGAGAACTTTGTGGCTAGTGATTTTCAAGTCCTTTTAAGTTCAGTGCCGTAAAACAACGTTAGAAAACGGGCAAGAAACACACCACCATGGTCACGGACGTCAGAAGCAGATTTTTGAGAGAAAAATCATCCCAGTGTTATGTTTCCACCTAAAGCCAAATAGACCCGGACATGGTTTTCACCGTTGGGGGAATAAAATGCTTTTTGTTCAAACTATGGCTAGAAGCCATACATTCCAGAAGGCTGCCAATAGGCAAAACGACCACAGCAGCAGGCAACACTGTTTTTGTACTACAGTGGGAATTATGGACTGCTTCAAGCCTGTTAACTAGGATTCATTTCAATTAAAGTAAGAATTAAAAGAGAGGGGTCTATGTGACCTCGGTTCTTGCGCATGATCACGATTTGCCTTGGTTCTCCCAGTGCTGTGCATATTCACAGAACGATGCACTAAGTATATCACAGGGCACATGCAGCTTTTAGTACACCAATACTGGGTGGGTTCCACCCCCTTTGGCACTTCTATTATTCTCTTGACAGGGCACACTTAAACACAATATTGGCTGATCTGCCATAGCCGTGTTATCAAGTCTGCTTTAACTTATTAAAAATGAAAACCTAGCCTCCCAACCACCTTTGGTTAATTAACCTTTTGGTAATTATGCTAGCAGTTTATTGTTATCTAGTGGATAGGAGAAGGGACGTGGGTGGTGCTGTGGTCTAAACCACAGAGCCTAAGGCTTGCTGATCAGAAGGTCGGCAGTTCGAATCCCCACGATGGGGTGAGCTCCCGTTGTCTGGTCCCTGCTCCTGCCAACCTAGCAGTTCGAAAGCACGTCAAAGTGCAAGTAGACAAATACCGTCTTTTTCGCTCAATAAGAGGCACCTGACCATAAGACGCACCTAGTTTTTAGAGGAGGAAAACACAAAAAAATATATTCTGAGTCAAATATATTCTGAAAAAAGTGCGTCTTATGGAGCAAAAAATATGGTCGGTACCGCTCCAGCGGAAAGGTAAATGGCATTTCCGTGCGCTGCTCTGGTTTCGCCAGAAGCGGCTTAGTCATGCTGGCCACATGACCCAGAAAAACTGTCTGCAGACAAACGTCGGCTCCCTCGGCCAGTAAAGAGAGATGAGCACCGCAACCCCAGAGTCGTTCACAACTGGACTTAACTGTCAGGGGTCCTTTACCTTTCACCTTTAGTGGATAGGAGATGGCTGTAAAGCAACATTTAAAGCTCAAGGTGCAGCTCACTCAGGTTAAGTGAAGCCCATTGGATTAAAGTCAATATAACCCACTGAAGTGAAGTAATGTCACTGAACTGTGTTATGGAGTGGATAAGTATTATTACCCTAGCAAACAAATAAAGTGGGATGGAATAAAACGTTCTTTTTCTGGGTTTAAAGACTTGACAGTCCAGTGTGGCGCTTTAATCTGAACAAGTATTCTGATAGATAATGCCAGCTGTTTAAAAAATGTGCTTCTCTAACAAAATTAAGGCTTATCTGAAACAATTCCTTTCTATATTAGAGTGGGCATGAAGCACATACATGGAATGTGAAGCCAACCACATTTCTACAATTTGGTGAAAAGATTCCTCCCCCCTCCTCTAATTCTGGAGCATTTAATGTCATTTAGCAGTTGGCTTTATAAACTAGCCATAAGCTTTTATCTGAGACAGAGTGCAATTTGCCAAACCAAAACCAGAAACAAACAGCACAGGCAAAGCCAATAAGGTGCAGCATTTATTTAATGAACGCTTCCTGATGCAAATTGTGCTAGAGACCCGTGATTTAAGGTTGTCATCAATTACTTATTAATCAACTTGCAACCACAAAACTTTATGGTAGGTGTGCTACATGCTATATAAAATTGTATGTATTTTACAGCCCAATCCTATACAACGGGACTTGGTGTATATACAGGGTAGCAGACGTAGGGCTCAATCGTATGCATGTTTACTCAGAAGTGAATCTCAACTGTGTTCAGTAGAGCTTACCTCCCAGGGAAGTGTGTACGTAAGATTGCAGACTTAAACATTCTTCTTCCTTCTGACAGTTTTTCAAAGCCACACTTTCAAGTATAATGATACAGTATATGGACAGATGGATGTGATATACCTTTTTGAATCCCATATAACAACAAATATAGGCTGAACGCATTCAAAGATGTGTTCTCAACTGAGCAAACTGAACAAATATGTGTGCTATGAAATAACAGCTAAATAAATAAAAATATTAAAAAATTGTCCAGTAGCACCTTAGAAACCATCTAAGTTTGTTCTGGGTATAAGCTTTCGTGTGCATCCACACTTCTTCAGATACACGAAAGCTTATACCCAGAACAAACTTAGTTGGTCTCTAAGGTGCTACTGGACAATTTTTTAATTTTTTTAAAATTTATTTTGACTGTGTCAGACCAACACAGCTACCTACCTGAAGCTAAACTTGGTAAACTTGTGCCAACTGGGTAAGGATTTGATTATGAATACTGTTTCCTTACTACAGCCCCGAAGGCCTTTTCACCTAAAAGCTATTACTTCATCATATGCCTGCAAAATGCTATTTACCAGGAGGCTGCAGTGATACTAGTTATTTTCATCTGAAAAGGATACAAAAATATCTAAAAACAAAACCCCAAAGCTCCCAATAAGCCAGGGGAGATGATGCCAGAAGTAAAGATTTATGAGATGCTGTGTCGTAGGCATCTTTAAGACAATGCTTAGACCATAGGTACAGTTTCCCATCATGGCTAAAGCAAAAAGCAGATAAGAGGTGCCTTCTGTGGATCTTCTTTGGAACTAAAAAATAAATGTAAAAGCAGTGTTATAGCAAAAGCACACATACTTTTTTCTTTTTCTTTTACATGCATGACCAGAAATAAATTAGGAATCCTGTGATAACCATCTTGGCCTCCTAATAATAATAATAATAATAATAATAATAATAATAATAATAAATTTATACCCCACCCATCTGGCTGGGCTTCCCCAGCCACTCTGGGCGGCTTCCAAAAGAATATTAAAATACATCAAACATGTCTTTCTCATTGGCAACCTTTTAAGAGAAAGAAAGGAACACAGGAACAACTTTCTACTATTGGTTCATCTAGCTCCACACTGTCTACAGTGACTGGGATCAGCTCTCCGGGATTCCACAAAGGGATTCCCCCCAGCCCTACCAGGAGATGTCAGGAATTGAATCTAGGGCCTTGGCATGCAAAACAGGCTTTCTACTACTAAATACTTTCCCAAATTTACAGGCCACTATAGATACAGGGTGGCGCTGTGAGTTAAACCACAGAGCCTAGGACCTGCCAATCAGAAGGTTGGCGGTTCAAATCCCCGTGACAGGGTGAGCTCCCGTTGCTCGGTCCCTGCTCCTGCCAACCTAGCAGTTTGAAAGCACGTCAAAGTGCAAGTAGATAAATAGGTACCGCTCCAGCGGGAAGGTAAAACGGCGTTTCCGTGCACTGCTCTGGTTCGCCAGAAGCAGCTTAGTCATGCTGGCCACATGACCCGGAAGTTGTACGCCAGCTCCCTCGGCCAATAAAGCGAGATGAGCACTGCAACCCCAGAGCCAGCCACGCCTGGACCTAATGGTCAGGGGTCCCTTTACCTTTATAGATACAGCATTGTAAACCTAATAGGCAACCTATTAAATCTTTGCCACCTTTAGTGGAATTATAGGAATTTATTCAAATTAGCCTCAAATGCCGAACGATCCAGTGCTCTCAATCTCTGCAGCTGACCCCCAACTTGATCAATAAATGTTGCATGTGGCGTGCACTGTCTTTAGAAATAAGTAATAAAATACTTACATTTTTATACAGCTGGGGAATTCTAGATCCCAAATAAAAGAGACACGATATGTAGCCACACACAAATCCTGACAACTCAATCATGCCATGAGACTTCTGAAGATAACAAAACGCACACACAGAGAGAGAAAAATAATAATTTCAAGACTGACAGAAGTTTAAACACAAAAGGCAGCATTGCCTTCTAACCTATGCACAGCAGTCAATGCAATTAATTAAGAAATCATTTAAATAAATGGGGAAAAGTGGTATTAAACTGAGTCTGCTAGTTAGCATTGGGGTTTTACCTACTTGGAAATTTTATACCACACTACCATCAGTGCAGGGAAATCAGTGTAGGGAAATTGGAAATAGTTATACCACACTACCATCAGTGCAGGGACGTGGGTGGTGCTGTGGGTTAAACCACAGAGCCTAGGACTTGCAGATAAGAAGGTTGGCGGTGTGAATCCCCGCGACAGGGTGAGCTCCCATTGCTTGGTCCCAGCTCCTGCCAACCTAGCAGTTCGAAAGCACGTCAAAGTGCAAGTAGATAAATAGGTACCGCTCCGGCGGGAAGGTAAATGGCGTTTCCGTGCACTGCTCTGGTTTGCCAGAAGTGGCTTTGTCATGCTGGCCACATGACCCGGAAGCTGTACGCCAGCTCCCTCGGCCAGTAAAGCGAGATGAGCACCGCAACCCCAGAGTCAGTCACGGCTGGACCTAATGGTCAGGGGTCCCTTTACCTTTACCTTACCATCAGTATCAAGAACAGCACAAGCAAAGTAATAAAATAGAAACATTAAAAAGTTGTACCTCATTTGTTCCTGAAAGAGTATTCTGGACTTGGTTCCGCAGCAGTAACGGACCAGGTAAAATCAAACCGAGTATGATGCACATCAAGACCCAGATGACACAACAGTTTTTCAAGTTTATGCCACCTTGAAAAGCAAATGAAAATCAGGGCCAACTTCATTATTGCTTTTAAAGAAATCTAACATTTGTTTGTGAAATACAGAGACATAATATGTGATACCAATAGTTTCAGGCCAGCATCTGAACTGGTGGCAATAGCATGGTTTTTTAAAAAACCAAACACCCCCCCCTCTTTCTTTCAAATGCCAGGCCCTCCCTCAAAACTGCCTCCCAAGCTTGAGGCCCTCTGGAGTGAATCCCATAAAGCACAAAGGCTTGTTTACGAAAAGCAGCTGAGCGTTATTAGCAAATTATACAAGTAACTTGTTCTGCTGCACAGGAATGTCTAAGGGTAACTATCATGCTAAAAGTAGTAAAACATGGAACACGGATGAATCCAGGACAGTGCAATTCTATGTCAGTCTGCTCTGAAGTTAGCCTTACTGAGTTCAATGGTATTTACTCAGCAGGGGGGTTTAGGATTGTAGCCTAAACCTGGGCACATTTTCTGGATTGATTTAGCAACCTGTTTACTATCCAGTCATTATCCAGGATATCTGTTTAAAATAAACGAGTCCCAAGCAGTGTTAGAAACTGACATATGAAAGCTAAATGGCACCTTAAACGTAGGTTATGGGAACGACAACAGAATGTCCAGGCAGACTTTTTTATAACAAGACTACAAAGCTGAAAATGAATGAACTGCAGCTAAAATATTATGCTCATTTTTCACATGGTTTAGTCCTCATCTGAAGATTGCAAGAACCAAAGCCGTGCGTCCCCTGCCTGCCCCTCTAATATTCTTAAGAAGATCTCTTCTCCAGTCTTCTCCACAGTGGCTGGAAGTGGGGAGGCAGAAAAACGTCCCCCTTTCCTTCCACTGTGCAGTTTTAATCTGAAATCTTAGGTGCAGGACTGCACCCAGAGCTCAGAAATTGCTCGCGCTAATGAAATTCCCTGTCACAAAATGTTCCTAGAACAATGGGAGTTTTGAACGCTGGTCCCAAGTTCTTCTTCCCTTGCTTAGTGCCAGGAGGATAATGTGTGTGATTATTATAATTCAGGAATGCAACCTTTTCTAGAAGTAGGTGCATCCTAACTGCAAGAACATTTAGTGTTTAAGGCATCTCAAGTCTAAGCCACCTAGTGCAAGCATGCTATTTAAAAACACACCCGGGGTTAAAGCAGTTTCTAAGTGTTAAGAACTTGTTTTTAAAAGCAGCAGCAAATTACATCCAGCTGCACTCTCCAATCAACAGACTCACATTTTGTCGCCTTCTGATTTTTTAGCTTATAATAGGCAAACTGGGATATCATAATAATGTCCATGTTAACGTAAAAGATGGCAGTGATTATCTGAAAAAGATGAAAAAAAGATGCACACTTTAGTACAAAACATCCAAAGTAGGCAAAATAGCATCTTTACTTATCCATATCCCATTTTTATCTTTTATACAAATCAAGGTAACAGGCAATAAAAAAAGAATTCCATACTTCTGTTGTTTGTGGTCCTTTTCCACCTCTTTGAGGGAAAAATTTAAGGCCAAAGGAAGGCTATGAAATGTGGGGCAAGGATTGACTATGTCCACATTGCTCCTTTCCTTCTGCGTATTCAGAAATCTATGGCAGACTGGGTGCCAACTTCCCAGCCTGTTGCAGCCAACCAGCCCCACTACACCATGTGGCCCAATCTCTTAAAGGAGAGAGTGTGAGGTGAAGGGAGAGCAAAAACCTCTTATGCTGAAGAAGAGCGGAGGTGAGAAAAGTGGCAGGAAGCGAGGAACAAGGATAGGAGGCCAGGAGGTTGGAGAGTACTCTGTGGGTTGTAGAGAGAAAGGGAGGGTTGCTACAGAGATGAACTTCAAAGAGATCTGTGTGTGAGAAGTGAGACAAAGACAGAGATAAGAATATAAGAGGAGGCCTGCTGAACCAGGCCAAAGGCCCAGCAAACCCAGCATTTTGTTCTCTCATTGGCAACTGGATGGGAGTGAAGAGAGAAATAGAAGAGGGTACACAATGAGCCGTAAAGAGAAGAGGAAGGAAAGGTTAACAAAGGGGTTCAGATATATCTGTGGTGGTGCAGGGAGAGAGGGAAGAGAGCGCGTGCTATGGAGTACAAAGAGAGGGAGCATTAATAGAGCACTGGCTTAAAAGAAACACTGAGTGAATTTTTTTGGGGGGGGGTCTTTTTCATGGTTAATGACTCCTGTTGAGTTGGTAAAATTAAAAAAAACAGGCAAAATTGGCCTCAGGTCTCTACTAAGCCAGATACAGTCATACCTCAGGTTGAATGTGGTTCAGTTTGAGCGCTTTCGGTTTGCGCTCTGTGGCAACCCGGAAGTAATGGAGCGCGTTACTTCCAGGTTTCGTCGCTCACGCATGCGCAGACGCTCAAAATGACGTCACACGCATGCGGGGAAGCAGCAAAACATGACCCACGCATGCACAGATGCGCTGTTGCGTCTTACGTTCCATTCAGGATGTGAACGGGGCTCCAGAATGGATCCCGTTCGCATCCCGTGGTACCACTGTATTTAAAACTTGGACTACTTACCTGTATTGGAAGTTGATTTGTCAAGTAGCACCCAATAAAACTGGTGAGGTCTCCAGCAATCCAGCATAGCAGAAAGCCCAATGAAAGTGCTTGATCCACTTTTCCATTCCGATAGGCAACATACAGTTGACTGGGGGAGGAAAAAAATAATCCAAAGGATGCGCTGCATTTTACACAAATAAAATCTAAAAATAAGTGCAAACTGCAGAAGATGTGAAGTGGGCAGCCCCCAAGGAAGCTCACACCAAACATGTTCAAAACAGTTATAAGTGTTGATCATATTATGTTCTAATACTGCTCTGATTATTTCTGTGCTGCTAATCATTGTGAGTTCACTAGCTCAAGAAGTGTGGGGTTGGAAATTTTAATTAATAATACATAAAATGATTAGCACAGTAATCGTTCTTACACTTTGCTAATCAGTCCTAATGAAAAATACACAAACGTATCATACATACTAACAGCACAGAAATAAAGACAAGAAGGAGCTATGAGCAACAGCTTTTATAATGCTTCAGTTGTCACGCTCAGTAATCCTGAAAAAGTGCACATTCACACTTAAAAATGGCTAGGGTCACACAAAGCTTTCATAACAGACTTGAGAGCTTTATTCAAGTCTTTGAATTGTTAAACTGTTCATGGAGCTCATTACCAAAAGTGACCCATAAAAAAAAATCCCATTCTACAAAAAGTGACATTTTTAATGACGACGCCCCTTTTGAGCAAAACCCAAGGGGCTCAAAGGCTTTGCAACACAGGTTTTATTCGGCACAAATTTCCAGACAGTTGGTTCAATAAGTTACAGGCTTCCCCAAGATAACAGACTTCAAAATGAATCCCACTTAACTTCAGCCATTTCCTCCCTGCTGGGAGAATTCCATGCTCTGTTCCTGCTATTGCCAACCTACATACTTGAAATGAATGCACAGAGACTAACCAGCAATTGAAAGAGAAGCAATAAGTGGTACAATGGGGGCAATCCAGGAAAAGAATCAATGGGAATTTTGCCATTGATCTCAAATGGGATATGGATTGCTTTGAACAATTTCAACGCTCTGTAGGTTAGAGAGAACATTGGCAGAAAGCAGAAGGGAGAATAGGGGAGCTGCAGTGCTAAATATCTACTCAGAAGTAAGCTCCAGTGATATCAATGGGCAAAACACATTCTTCTTCTCCTCTCTTTCTTGCTATGTGATAATGGCTGTATCCATTTTCACAATATTCCGCTGAGCGAAGTGCTTTACAAACCTCCCATTTTCCCTCCCAATAAACCTGTGGCGATGGTCTCTGGTATTCCTGTTGTACAAGTGAGGAACTGAGAAAGCGAATTCATCACTGAATGGAATCCTTTTTGAACCTAGCCTTCCAAACCCAAGACTCTATCCTTTATGCCCAAACTCCCATCAGTCCTGGCCAGCATGGCGACTGTTCAGGGAGGACAGGAGTTGCAGTCCCAAACACCTGGAGGGCATTTCCTACCCCTGGGTTACATCATGATACCAGGGGGAAAGTTGGTTGCTCTTTTCCAAGAGAAGACTACCACAGTAGGTGACTTAAAGCTCTTTTGTGACCTCTTCGGGTTCAACCAGCTAGATTGTTATACTTTGTTACTGCAAGTGATGTATGTACCGGGGAAACAAACTGCAGCACAACATTGTATTTAAGTTCCTGCCTGGAACCACAGGTGATGCGGAATTGCATACAGGTGCAGGCTGGTGGAAAGGGGGAAGCAGCACTTCTTCCTCTGCACTCAATGGTTGCCAGAGAGGATGAAAGTTACACTCCAACAGCATCTTGAGGGCACCTGGTTCCAGAATACTATGTTACACACTCCTAGCTCTACTCTTTACCACATGTGGGTCAGTCTTCTTGCAGTCGGGGTGGGGGAAGCAACACAGGTGTGGCAGCTTGTCCTTTGAACCAAACAACAGAATGGACAGAATACTGCCTCGGCCCAGTATACCTGAAGGAGCGTCTCCACCTCCCATAGTTCAGCCCGGACACTGAGGTCCAGCTCCGAGGGCCTTCTGGCAAGTTCCCTCACTGTGAGATTACAGGGAACCAGGCAGAGGGCCTTCTCGCTAGTGGCACCCGCCCTCCCATCAGTTGCCAAGGAAATAAACAACTATCTGACTTTTAGAAGACATCTGAAGGCAGCCCTTTTTAGGGAAGTTTTTAATGTTTTATGGCTTTATTATTATTATTATTATTATTATTATTATTCTGTTGGGGTCCACCCAGAGTGGCTGGGGAAACCCAGCCAGATGGGTGGGGTATAAATAACAAATTGTTGTTGTTGTTACTATTATTATTAGTTAATAATAATAATAATAATAATAATAATAATAATAATAATAATGTACTCTGCCCTCTCCATTTAAGTGTGTGAAATGCACACGTTTTAATGATGCAGAGATCAAAGGAGAAGGGGGTGACGTGTTTTTATTTGCTCCAAATAGCAAAGATTAGCGTAAGTCACCACAACAGTAGAGTGTAGCAAGCTAATTTGTCAACCATCAAATATTGCTTTAAACAGGAGAAACATGCTGCTCTGGCATATCCTATTTATTCGATGCAGATAGGGACAGAAGTGCATCAAAGAATGAACCTAAAAAAAAAAAGAGAGAGAGAGAGAGAGAGGCAGCTTCTGAGAAGAGCTTCAGGCAAGATTACTCATGTATGAATCTGAGAAGTACTTAAAGATTTTAAACTCACGGTAGTGCAGCAAACAGAAAGCAGACAATGGAGATCAGGCCTATGACAACACTCCAATACTCCCACGCATTCCCGACACACTCTTCCAGGAGATGCCAAATCCAGGGTGTTCCATTTAGACACAATCTCCTATCCGCGACTGGGGAGATATTAAAAGCATGTGGAGGCTGCTGAAGAGCCATCTATTCAAGTTGAGGGATATTATTTCAGAAGTTGGCTCAGTTCTGAACCCCATGCAAATCCATTTACCAGTTCTGAATATTCTCTCTTCCCCTTCAAAGCTCCCACATCCAGATGGATGATTGGGTACAACAATTTGTTTCCAACCTCACAGGAGGGCCTGCCAAATTCAAAGAAAATAAAATACATCCAGCATTCATACATCAATTTAAAAGACAAATCCAGCTAATTATTCTATTTGGACACATATGAAAGGCAAACTCCAAAGCAAGAAAGAAAATTTAAAATATAGATGTTAACCCACTCAGTATTTGAGTATTCTTATGCCAGTTGAAATGGGCCACTTTTCTATACTGGATCTCAGGGCGCAGTTTCTTAAGTGCCATTACTTTGCTATCATAAGACAGTCGGAGAACTGTAAAAACAGTAATATAGTTGTACCTGCTAAAGTGTCCACTACAGCAAAATTGTAATTTAACATTTCTCCACCTTTGAAAGAATGATACATTCATATATGGGATGTATTACTATAAATAAACAAACAACTGCATTAGAGCAACAGAAGGAAAAACAAGTGTTGAACTGTTTATAATGCTTTTCCTTAATATAATTTGCTACATTGCATATTGCGTAAATTCCATTTTATGTCATTACTTAACACTAATGACATGGGGGTGCGGTGGGAGAAGCTTCATATTTGCCTGGGTGCAGCAGTTTACTGATTGTATTTTTCATTTCCTTCCTTGCCCCCAAGACTTTTCATAAGCTAATAACAGAGGGATCAATCCATCTGGAAATTCTCCAGTACAAGCCCTGTTGAAGTAAACAGCAGCTACAATACTCTTGCATGGCTCATAGTCCAGTTGACTTGCTACTGTTACCCTAGTTTTAAACGTTAAATTGGGAGGCAATATTTGATGCAGTCAATATGACTTGGATGGGGTTTGTAAACTTGTTTTGGAATGTTTCAGTTTCTTCTCATTTACAGCCTTCTTGTATATGTCTTCATGCTGTCTAAATAACGCTTTGATTAATTGTTTTTATTATTAAAACAATTAATCCTAAAGCAAAGAAAAAAAGAAAAAGAAAAGAAAAATGGTAGAACATTTGTGATGTGAATATTTACTACAGAACAAAAGAAATTAAACTAAGCACGATATTCTTATATTGTTTGTTAAGTAATACGGAATAACTGGCAGTCACTGATCCCATGCTTGCAAGCACAGATATGGAAATAAAGTGGCTCCGGCCCTAAATAGGGCAAGCCACGCCCCCCCAGCCAGCCGATTGGCTGGCTGGGAGGTGTGGCCAGTCGGGATTCCCCTGTTCTCGCGGGGGCTGAAACCGCCAGGAGGAAGGAAATTCCCCCCGGCAGTGCCTTGGCAGTGGCGGTGGTGCTGCGAAGCAGCGAGGCAGGAGCCCCCACCCCCGGCGCCCGAGATTATTGGGGGGGCTGAGCCCCCCCAAAAAATTTTTTGAGGGGGCTCGAGCCCCCTCAAGCCCCATGGGGTCGGCGCCTATGGATATGGATACAAATCCCTCATCTGTGACCCAACCTTTTGCCAGACTAACTGTTAAGCACTGTATAGAGTGGTTCAAGGGCTTTAACGAGTAAAATTTATACAGTTATCTGCATCCTATGTGACTAATTTGTACTGCAAATTAAAGCTAGGATTTTCATCTAAATCTCTAGAGTTCAAAAATTTATTTAATAAAATATGAAAGTGCTTTGGAAGGTAACAGCAGTATGTCATGTTGCTGGTACTCTCTAAAATTCACAAAATATTATGGAGGAAAATATTATTACAAAACTTTGGATACCTTTGAGTCTTGTCTCTTAAGTGTAATAATTAGCACAAATAGAACTGTATGAAGGGGTGGGAAAACAAAGAGGGGCTGCTGGTACAAGGTTGATTTGCAGCACAGTGTGTTTAGCAGAAGAGAAGGATATAGCATGGGACTCTTGAGATTTTACAGCGTTAGCTAAGAATTACACACACCAATAGGCTAAATCTCCATTCCATGTCCTCCATGAGTTGATTGCAAAGTCTTGTGCAACAAACCCCCTTTCCCCATAAACCAGACTTTTTGCAATATGGAAAGTGATTGGGGGGGAATGTACTGGAAATTGTGGGACAATGCTTGCTTTCACACAAAGTCATCTGCAAACAAATCAGAATGAATGCTTAATAAACAGGGCATATGGAAAAACTGGAAGTTAGAAACCTTTACTGAGCTGCTACAAATTACCCATTTGATCTACCCAAGGTGCCGCAACCCCATTTTTAATCTAAAGGTACATAAAGTATCATCCCATTTTATGTAAACAAAGATAGCTACATATTTCCTTTCTACTTGACTTTATTACCTTCGTTCCTTTGAAAGTTTCCCCTCTGCCACGCATTAAAGGCATTGGCAACAACCTATTAAGAAAAGAAAAAAAGCGCCACCAGACTGTATTATTTCCCTGGCTCTTTTCAAATTTGAAATGGAGACAAAGAAAAATCAAACTGGGGAAAAAAATCCAAGATAACAACCATAAAACTAAAAGACTAATACACTGGAAAAAAAATCAATGCAATGCATTATTAAAGTAGAACTCACTTCATTACCTCGGGGCTTGCATGTCCCTGGGAGGCCTCTGTGGTAGCTCTAACAACACAACGTGGTACATGTTGGAGTATCAAACTAGCAGTTAATATTGTTGGGAATTAGCATCATGTGACCTGGAAGGGGGGGAAAGAGCACATTTTGGTTTAGTCAGGTGAATACCTTGATTATGGTACTACTCAGTACTTGCTGAAAGTATAGCTAAATATCTACAGTCATCTTGGGTAACTTGCTTTTCATGTTTAACCTGACACATCAGGATGTTAACCAGCACCAGTTATTATAGGAAGCAAGCAGTTCAAAAGGAATTATACAGGTAAGCTGACAATCCTCAGGAGGCTGAAGGTCTGGCCTTTGGCCCCTTGCTGCACAACATCTCCTCTGGTGCATGTTATTCTGTTGTCTTTTGCTAGTTAACATTTATGCAACACCAGCCATTGTCAAGCAGTATGCTTAGTATCAGCTAAAAGATTTCATAGGAAACCTGTCAGCTGGTCAAGACACTTAGATGCTTCTTGCCAAATCCTGCACTTTACCTACATAGGGTCAGCTTCAAAGGCTTATCAAGCAGGCTCAAAATTCAAGACTTCTTGCTTTAGCTTCAATGCTGTATCACTTTACCTGGCAGGAAACCACATTTAACAGAAAGGTGCTTCTGAACAAGTTTAGGATTGTGCTGTTAAGAGCAATATGCAGCTACACCAAAAACCAAAAACTACCAAAATGCAAGGGGAGATAAGCAATAGAGAGGCTCACTTCTGGTAAAGGGAGCATTCCTGCAGTGACATGGGTGGTAAGTAAACACATAAAGGTAAAGGTAAAGGTACCCCTGCCCATACGGGCCAGTCTTGACAGACTCTGGGGTTGTGCGCCCATCTCACTTAAGAGGCCAGGGGCCAGCGCTGTCCGGAGACACTTCCGGGTCACGTGGCCAGCGTGACATTGCTGCTCTGGCGAGCCAGAGCCGCACATGGAAACGCCGTTTACCTTCCCGCTAGAAAGCGGTCCCTATTTATCTACTTGCACCCGGGGTGCTTTCGAACTGCTAGGTTGGCAGGCGCTGGGACTGAGCAACGGGAGCGCACCCCGCCGCGGGGATTCGAACCGCCGACCTTTCGATCGGCAAGCCCTAGGCGCTGAGGCTTTTACCCACAGCGCCACCCGCGTCCCTAAGTAAACACATAGATAGCTCTTAAAACTTTGGTGACACTGAGTGATAAGGATCATCCCACCACTTTTAAACTACTGTATTATTATTTTTTTACTGTGAATATAGTCCCCACCCCGCGCCTGAAATGGAACATTGGCAACAGGATTGTTGCTATTATTATTATTATTATTATTATTATTATTATTATTATTTACTTATCAAAAGAACCTGGAAAGGGTACATCCAGTTTAAGGGAGGCTAGAGTGCATAGACTGGCATTTAGATGTCAATGGTGTTGTGTGGATGCTGCAATAAATAAATAAGAATGTATGAGTGTACCTATCCCACAATAAACACAAGGCACCCAGAGGTGCTGGGATTAAGAAATTCTTGCCTTTGCTGGGTTTACATTTTTCACCTATTCACTGGCCTACCAGACAAGAAGTTAAAGTCAACCTTTTCAGATGAACAGTGAATTGATTTGGGGGGGGGATGCACCTGCTTTCCCTTCTCCAAAGCTCCACGCATTCATTTGATCTTCTGAAGGAGCACCCAGGAGGTCAGAAACAGGGGCAGCAGGTGTGAAGCCAACCCTCCCTTCTCCAAATATCTCCGACACCCCCCCCCCCGGTAGGGCTGCGTGTGAACAGGAAGAGGGGTGGCTCTTTACCTTTCGATTTGGTCCCGGGAAGATGCTAAACCCTCAACCCCAGCTGATTTGCGGGCGTTCACACGTTACATTCCACGAGGGCGGAGCCTGTGCGGAGAAAAGATGTCAGAAACAAAACATTTATAAATCAGTCAGTCAATCAATCAATCAATCAATCAATCAATCAATCCAGGCAGATGGAAGTTTCTGACACTTTGCCCTAGACGCAACGGAGATCTCACCACAATGCCGTTTATTTTACACCCAGGAAGAGAACCGGGCTCCAGCTTTTGTGGAGAAAAATATATTTTTGAAAACTCCATTAAGCCGCTACCCCAGTATAGGAGAGGCACCCACCCCGCGAGCCGAGAGAGAGAGAGAGAGCCGGTCCCGGGAAAGGCTTCGTCGCAGCGGCCGAATCCGTTGCCGTTGAGCCGGGCTGAGACCGAGCGCGGCGAGGAGGGCCGGCCGCCCAGGCAGGCCTCTTCCTTCCTCTCCCTGCTGTCCAAGCCCGGAGCTGCGGGAGAGAAGCCGGAGATGGCGCCGGCTGGCCTGCAGCTCCCTCTGCTGACAGTTGGCCGCCTTCCCTGAGAGAAACCTCCGAGCAGGAGGAGGAGGAAAGGAAAGGCCGCGGGGGCTTCGAGAGAGTAGGCGGCCTAGGGCCCTGCTCCGGTCGGTCGTCGTGAGGGGCTTCCTTTGGAGTCCACAGGATTGCAAAGAACGGCTGTTGTTGTTGTTGTTGATGATGATGATAATAAGTTTATTATTATTCTAAATTATTATTATGGATTATTATTATATTATTGTTTGTTGTTGTTTGTTTGTTTATTATTATTATTATTATTATTTCTCAGGAAAAATTTGAGGTGTGGAAATCTGGATGCTTCCAGCAACCTTGTCCGGTTGCTTCAATTCGCACCTGGACCCATTAGGATTTCTATTATGGTTCCACAATGGAAAATGCTTTCTGGTTCCACAACTGGTGTTAGCCGCCCTGAGCCCAGCTCTGGCCAGGGAGGGCGGGGTATAAATAAATTTTATTATTATTATTATTGTTATTATCATTATTAATGGAGCATGCTTTCTTCTTTTCACCCTCCCCTCCACGCCTGCCAAAATTTCCCTCCCCTGTGCAAGCACAAAAAACGGAAAGAGTTCATCTAATTTTGCACCATCTGGTCACACTTGGAGGGTGCAATTGTTTTGAACGTGGGTTACACTATAATACTGGCCTGAGCGTGCTAGCCTGCAAGCAGGGATCGCTTCCACAAAGTCATCTCCCCTGGGGAGAGGAAAGTTGTACAAGGCTAGGAAATGAAGTAAGGCTAGTGGTTCTTCCTTTACCCCCTAAATCATCTTTAAGGACCTCCCCCCCCCCAATATTTTACATATTTGCCATAGCTGTTTTGTATCTCTTCTGCGTTGATCCTAATATATTTTGAATGCAATGTTTCAACACACGCAATTGTATTTGTGATCCATGTTTCCCACTAGGCACTCATAGAAAAGAAATCAAACAAGCATCTGCCAGCACAAAATTGGCATTGCATGCCAGATTACTCTTATTGCAGAACGTGATACAGGAGTACCATGTTTTCAATAGTAAATGTAAGGAGGATTGGGGGGGGGGATCTAGAAAAACTTTGCATCCACGTTCATTGCAAGTATCCTGATTTTATTCCTGTTTATTTAGAGCTGCATGTCTGCAAATTCAGTCGGACTTACTTCACTCAGACTTACCATGTGTTTAGGACTGAAACCTTACAGATCCTGAGTTGCTGCTTACTTTCCCACTGCTTATTTCACCAGTTATATAGCCGCACTGAAAAGAAGATTGCCTTGTAGCCCTGCAAACTTATATCTGAAAAGTTGATCTGAAAAAGCCACTTGGCAGGTTTAGCCATAAAGCCACATATCACTTACCGGCTAGCTTGAGAAAAAGATACTTTCTGTGGATTGGCCTCAGAGGAGTTCTCCTAACTATTTTTGATGACACTAGTTCTAGTAGTAACCTCAGTGAGTGAGGAAACCAATGTTATCTGAGGTTAGCACAGGCTTTTCTGTTTCACCATGCACTGAGTTTTATAGTTCCTCAAACACTTTATAACAGTCTGTATCACAATCCAAAATATTCATTAGCATCTTCTTTTAAGAATGGCTTTGATTGAACATCAAGTTGTCTATACATTTGTCTATACAGTTGTCTATCCAGTTGAGAGCCAGTGTGGTGTAGTGGTTAAGAGCGATAGACTCGTAATCTGGTGAACCAGGTTCACGTCTCCGCTCCTCCACATGCCGCTGCTGGGTGACCTTCAGCTAGTCACACTTCTTTGAAGTCTCTCAGCCCCACTCACCTCACAGAGTGTTTGTTGTGGGGGAGGAAGGGAAAGGAGAATGTTAGCCGCTTTGAGACTCCTTCGGGTAGTGATAAAGCGGGATATCAAATCCAAACTCTTCTTCTTCTTCTTCTACATCTGCAAGCATTGCACATCTTTTAAAATTAACATCAACATGTTAAATACATGTGCAAAGCTGCCTTCAGTTCTTATTAAAGAAATTCAGTGCAACAGTAGTACTATATATTGCTTATTATGAATGAAGCAAGGCACCATCTAATAAATAGCTTTGCACTTACATACTACTGCCCTCTGCTGGACATCTGCTTTGTCAATACAGTACTGTATACTGTACCTAGTAGCCTTGATGCCATCAGTGTGATGAATAACATCATGTGATAAATTACATTTACCATACACCACTAATTGCCTCGCCTGCAGTTTTCTCACTAATCTGTCTTCACTATGAGTTATTATAAAAGCCAGAGCAATGTTGGAGTGGCTCCAAATTTTTATTTTTAAAAAGCTGCTGTGCCATAACTGCGACAAGTTTAAGATGCAATGGCTCCAAAATAGCCTTGTCAAAACTAAAAGACCCTCATGAAGAAGGGGATGCATGCAATAAGTACATACCCATATCTTGCAGTTCCAAGACTCACGATTTGGACCTTGCTTAATCTTGCACCTCTTACTGAAAACCTCTACCACTATCCCAAATCTGAAATGATGCCCAATTTTAAACTTTAAAATGTTGAAAGTTGTGAATGACTGACAGCAGATAGAGAATTTTGCCATTTTGATCTTCTGTTGACAATTGTTTCATTGAAGCATGTGGAATTGTACTCTGTAATAGGCTGCTGGTTCAGATAGACCTGGTTTGCTAAAGCTTTTACACAGCACAGTCAGAAATAAATCCCACTGAGTTCAATTATACTAATCCCCAGGTAAGTGTATAGACTTAACTAGCTGAGCAAGATGACACTGTCCTCTTTAGTTCATTCAGAATGCTCAATGTCTGTTTCCCCAAAGCCTGGTTTCTGAAACCACGTATCATAGTATATGATCTGATGTGAGTCACCCTACAAGTACTATAGCATTCATGGCTGAATGCAGCTGTGATTGGGGGTAGGGAACTGTTTGGGAATGGTAAATGCACTGAAAGAATGTATTAAATGGTTTGCTAGGTGGGTGGATTTTCTGAAGAGTATGTTTCTGAATCAGGTCCTTAACCAGTTGCAAAGTTTCAGAAGACATTACTGAGAAGAAGTTTTCATGAACAGAAACTTACTTCGTGGGCCACTTAATATTCAGTTTCTAAAACCAGTGAGCTGGCCACAGTTGTATTACGAGTAAGAATCATATGTGGACTATATAACATGGATTGGGGGAAGGTGGTGACTGCCCCTAAATGGTATCTTGCAGTGCAAGTGTATGTATGCCTACTGAGAAGTAAGTTACATTGAATTTGGTGGCACTTACCCTTAGGTAAGTGGGTGGAGGATTACTGCTTTAGGGGGGACATCACCTTGCCAACAAAGGTCCATATAGTTAAAGCTATGGTTTTCCCAGTAGTGATGTATGGAAGTGAAAGCTGGACCATAAAGAAGGCTGATCACAGAATAATTGATGCTTTTGAATTATGGTGCTGGAGGAGACTCTGGAGAGTCCCATGGACCGCAAGAAGATCAAACCTATCCATTATTAAGGAAATCAGCCCTGAGTGCTCACAGGAAGGACAGATCCTGAAGCTGAGGCTCCAATACTTTGGCCGCCCTCATGAGAAGAGAAGACTCCCTGGAAAAGACCCTGATGTTGGGAAAGATGGAGGGCACAAGGAGAAGGGGACGACAGAGGACAAGATGGTTGGACACTGTTTTTGAAGCTACCAGCATGAGTTTGACCAAGCTGCGGGAGGCAGTGGAAGACAGGAGTGCCTGGTGTGCTCTGGTCCATGGGGTCACAAAGAGTCGGACACGACTAAATGACTAAACAACAAGTTAGTCTGGACATGAGGAGGCAGCTCCCCTGGGCAAGAGGTATGGAGGGGGGAGAGGGGATCAGGAATGGGTAACACCTTCCTCAGGGGTAACTGAGGTAGTGAGGTAGTTACCCCACACTCCCTGTTGTTGTTCGCTTAAAGCGGCAATCTCTGAATCCCCTTATACCATTGGTTACTTCCACATTATGTCACAGCAAGTCCAGAAATCATGAATGTGCTGTATGAAAACTGCGAAAAAAACAACAACCCTGTTTTATAGAGAGAGGAGAATTACACAAACTCTGTTGTCTGTCCTATTCTGTTAGAATGCAAAACACAACTGAAATTGGAATAGCTCGCTAGCAACCACTGTAAGGCAATGGATACTAAGCTCACCTCTGAAAACTGCTTGGCAGTTTAACACTCCAGCCTGAAATCCATTGTGTGGAAGGACATTCTATCAAAACCAATAGCATTATTTCTATTTACTACATCAATATAATCCTCAACTTTGCCTTCCTACCTACTATGGAGCTCTAGCAGTGGTTAAATACTGAACCACCTCTGTCTCTAGAAGAAACAGTCAAACATTTGAGATCCAAAGTATAAAGGAAAATGCAAAGTGTCTACTGGAATAATTTATTCATCTCTCTCCAATTGTTGGGGTGCTTCTGTCCTATGAACAAACAGGTGGCTTTCATCTATGTATCCAGCCAAACTCTTTTACTAATGCTAAGTCCCCTTATAAATAAAAATAAATTAGCATTTATTGAGATTTTATTAGAATGCTACGAGTTGAGAATCCTTTTGTGACATCTTTGAACACATTTGGAATCAGGAGTTGCTATTGCTCCCGGTAAACCCAAAGTAAAAAGTGACTTAAATTGTCTTCTTTTCTTCAATAGTTCCCACAGTTTGTTTAGGAGATCCACCCATACAATTTTGCTTCTCTTCTCTCTTTCACCCCCCCCCCATGTTTAATAATAGAAGGGTTGTCTGATCTAAAGATAAGAAAGTATAAGAGGAGAGAGCAGGGGTCCTAGCATTGTCCATCAATAAACGATCACCTGGACAGCAGACTGTGCAAGCCTGTGTTTACACCATACATTTAAAGCACACACACCAAAGAATATTGGGAACTGTACAGTACTTGGTTAAACATGCTGGGAATTGTAGCACTGGTGGGAGTAAACTACAGTTCCCATGATTCTATGATGAATCAGAACAGAAGCTGACTACCAGGCAGATACAGCTGATCAAATTCAAATATGGTAGCAGATAGTTTTCAGTAAAGCTAACCGAGGCACTTCACATAGTGTCCATGATACTAAGGAATTCTGTAAGCTTATGGTCTGAAAGATTAGCATGGCATTTTTGAAATGAATTATCAAAA